CTCTCTCTCTCTCCTCTCTCCTCTCTCTCTCTCTCTCTCTCTCTCTCCTCTCTCTCTCTCTCTCTCTCTCTCTCTCTCTCTCTCTCTCTCTCTCTCTCTCTCTCTCTCTCTCTCTCTCTCTCTCTCTCTCTCTCTCTCTCTCTCTCTCTCTCTCTCTCTCCTGCTCTCCTCTTTTTGGACATTAAGCCGTTGCGCGTGCGGTAATTTTCCCGGGGTCATTTTTGCCGCTCTTCTTGCCCGATCGTTAACTTCACTTAGCTCTGTTTACCCCCGTCGTCATTTTTCTCGGTCCACCCCCGTCCCGCCACCCCCTCGCCCCGCTCCTCGTTCATATTCCCGTCCGATTTCGCGCTTCTCGTTTCCACGGGCGACCTCGTCAGACGTCGCCGAAGCACCGCATCTTTCCACATGCACGCCGCCGCGTTTTCCCTTCCATTTCCGTTTTTATCGCGTAACCTCGCCCCGGTTATTTCGTCCCCGACGGCGATGGCGGTCGCCTTTTTTTCACGGTCCGGCGGGAAAGGATAATTAGCGCCGGCACCCACCCCCCCCCCGCCTCTGGTGCGTGGTCGCGTTTCTCCGCTAAAAGCGGTTTTCTTCGGGGACCGCTTTAAATGTACGTACATTATACATACGTCGGGGCCGAAAGTCATCGGACGGACAGATCGGCGACGCGCGCTGGAAAAGCGCTCCCAGATTTCGACGATTACGAATATCGAGAAATGAAAACGGGAGTTTCCCCGGGGCGACTTGTAAACTCCAACTTAAGCATCCACGGTGGCGTAATCGAAAAGTTTCGGAATTGGTCCTGTTGAAAGTAAACTTTATCGGTTATCGATACGATCCCTTAATCCCCCTCGTAGCTAGTTTTTCGCCCGTACGTTCGTTCCGGCGGTTTTGCCACTGTTCGAAAGTCGCGTCTCTCTTTCAACCGCTTTATGAGAGGGGCATTATTTAAGGGAGCGCTTAATCGATCGCGAATCGAAGAGCGGGATTCGGTGAAACGGCGTGTATAACGATGAAAATTTCCCCGACTTTGCGGTTTTACTTGTTATACGCCATCCACCTCGTCCGAGACGTTTGCGAGACCTGTCGCTCGAAGACCTGCGCGAATTTTAACTAGCAGTTTGCGCTTGACGGAAAGAAGATTGTTCGAGGGATTGCTAGTCGCTCGTGCGGCGATACTTGTTTCTTTCCTGTCTCCCGTGCAGACCTCGGAATTGAACGCAGTTATATAACGAAAGTTGTGCGGTATAAACCGCGAGAGCCGGCCCTTCAAGCGTAACTCTTTTGCAAAAGGGTATTACGCGGATGAATACCTGCTCGAATAACGTATCAGGAGTAATCACCGGATTACAATTCAATTTAGGTTACACTCTTTAATAACTAGCTACTAATCCCCCTCGAATTTTCGCAAGCGAATGTATACTCCATGTTACAAAACTACATCTAATTTACGGCGAACGCTGTGAAAATTTTTAATTACTTTGAAAATTAAAAACGCGATTCATCATGCGCGTACATAGACTAATAACGTTCTCGTCTATAATGAACACCGTCCTTTGTACGCGGAATTATAAACGTCGTGTCATTTATGACCGATTTATACGCAATTACCTCACTCGGGAGTACCGCGCCTCGTCTCTCTCTCTCTCTCTCTCTCTCTCTCTGTCTCTCTCTTCCTTTCTTCTCTTTCAAGTCGAAGGAATTTCCCGGGCGGGTTTATTATCCTACCGCTTTACCTGCGGAAGACAATTATTTAAAAAAACGCTATCCTCGCGTCGATTTAAAGCTCGTCAATTAAGCAACGAACAATCGTGGGTACAAACGCGATCTGTGCGGCTTACGAGGGATTGATCCAGGCGAGGTATCCGCCGGGTTAATTCGGTCGAAATGAGCCCGCGGGTATTCGAATTACGGCGGCATCAAGCGGAGGGTCTCGTCGAGGGTACGGTCGTATCAGATAAAGGATACCATCGACGTCGACGCCACGCGACGCAACGCTTCCTACAACAATTGAGATTAGAACTCGCGTACTCGGAGATTCTCCCAGTCGTCGACGATCGGAAGACCGGGGCCCTCCGCCGCCTCTCCTTCTGCATTGAGCATTTATTACGGATGGGATGCTCAAGATTCTCGGCCGCGCCTTGCCACAGGACCACGTCCTTTCATCTCGGCTGTGCGAGCCAG